TTTCCCTTCGTGAATACCTTGCTAACAAAAGATCCAGATGTGTGAGAAGCTAAGTAATACTATGCCACTAATTTTTCTCACCATGCGTTATGATACCAATGGAGCAAAATTGACTTTACGCTCCTTCTTTCTCACTTGCTAGCAGATTTTTTTTTCCCCTCTTTCAATATTTTTTTTTTGTATTAGTCACTCATAATTATATTACAGGCTTTTTCCCCCTTAAGGCAAGAAACTTTGAACATAGTAGCTCTTGATAGTCATGCTTTTTTTCTTTTAAAAAAGAGTTAGTAAGGGCCTTTTTGTTATTTGAGACAACTGTACAGTTGCTCATGACAAAAAAAAAAGGAAAAAATCATTGAAAGAAAAGGAGAGAAAAAGTGGTACCATGCTAACAGAATCCTGCACATATAAGCTTTAGCTGTTTAGTAGTTTTAAAATATAAATTAAATTAGTTGCATTCATTCAAAATACATTGGTCAACTATAGGTAACCATGGGTCCGCCTTGACTCAATGGCTACTACCAAAAACAACATGAATTTAATTAGTTATATTTATTCAAAATTATCACTTTTTGCAGTAAAAATAATGAAGGGAGATGAAATTTGGAAATAAAGTATATATTTAAAGCTGTAAGTATCTTTATTTTATAACCTATACATACCTGTGACAGGATTATCTTACAGGTAGAAATTGCAGTGTACTTGGGAATATTTTTTGGCATTTTATTTGTGCAAATTTCTGTTGATTTTAGTTGTATGTGTATAAGACTGGCTTTAGTAACAATAACCAAAACAAAACCCATTGTCCATGAGTGAATTCTAACTCATAGCAACCCTATAGGACAGAGTAGAATGGTCCCATAGAGTTTCCAAGGCTGTAATATTTACAGAAGCAGACCACATCATCTTCCTCCCTCGGATCAGCCTGTGGGTTCAAACCCCTGACCTTTCCGATAGCAGCTGAGTGCTTAACCATTGGGCCACCCCTTAAAAAAGTGAATGAAAAAAGGAATGATGACCAGAAATTATTGAGATTGTTAAATTTTACCAAATTTTTCTCAAGTCTTCTAATATTTTCTATTACCCTTAATATAATGTTTTCTGTTAGAAGATCTGATTGCCCACTGACTTTTACTATAAGAAAAGACTTAACATAAAAAAAAATTCTCATTTCAGTAAGTGTATGTTTGTTTTTGTTTTTTGTGTCTTCTATTAAATAATAGCCACTGAAGTAGGCACTGCATATACACCCATTCCTAACTTACTATCTCATTATCTGAAATTTTGCATTTATGACAATAGTAAAAAATGTACTATTCTTCTATTTTGTACGTTAACAATGTACATATGGCAGTAACAAACACAGAGGTGTGAGGTGAGAGTAACTCTGGATATGATGGTTAAGGCTATGTGTCAACTGGGCTGGACCACGATTCTCAGTGGTTTGGCACTAATGTAAGGATGTAAATTGGCAGTTATATAATGATGTAGTCATCCTCCATTTTGTGATCTGAGGTGGTGATCCTCCATTTTTGCATAACGCCAATTTTTGCATAACAACCTGCTCTTTGAAACCAAACCATGTTGATAAGTAAGTGTATATACATATATATACACCCATCCTATTGCTTTCTAGTTGATACCGACTCATAAGGATCCTATAGGACAAAGTAAAACTGCCCCACAGGATTTCCAAGGCTGTAAATCTTTATGGAAGCAGACTGCCAGGCTATCAGATCTTTCTCATGCAGAGCAGCTGGTGGGTTTGAACCACTGACCTTTGGGTTAGTAGCCGAGAACTTAATCACTGTTCCACTAGGGCGCCTTCATATACATGTAAAAACAAACACATTTTATATATATATATATATATAAAATATATACACACAAACATGTTATATATATTATAATTGGGTAGTATAGAATGTTTATAAAGTTTTTTTATTTTTTACAATTTCATAACAGTGTAAAAGAATAAAAGTATATGAAACTCCAAAAGTTCATTTGTTCAGCAAATTTGATTCAATTTAACCAATGTCCATTGAGGGCTTACTATATGTCTGTCTTAATAGATAAAGGAAAGAGTATATTGCATATTGTCAAAAGAAACGTGAGAACATCTGCTTTCTTCTCTGAAGAATTCCACTAAGAGTTGCTGGGCAAATTATTTGCATAATGCATATTATTACAAACTAACTGGATAGATGCTACATTTGACTTAAGTTCAAGGCCTATAGGTTGTGGGACACAGATTACATGATTTTAAAAGCACATTGAACAAATGCCTCTTCCTTATTTTCTTCTATCTTGCATAGCCCACTCCCTACCCCTAAGCCCTAAGTTTGTTTAGTTCATTTTCCCAACGTAACTGATTAGAAAATGATAAAAAAGATAATAATTTCTCAAATATATTTTAATCGTTGGACAATACAATAGACAAAGGAAATTATAAGAAAAATGTTCAGTGTACTGTTGGAATTATTTTGTTGTTATTTTTTAGTGAATGCTGTGAATTTCTGGAAATTTCCCCAGGAGTAAGAAAGAAAACACTTTTTGGTTAGTTTCCAGTCATTAATATATGCACATCTAGTGGGACCCATTGTCCCCAAGAATTAATTTATTTCTTAATGAACAATGAGAAAAAGGCAGTGACGTGTTTTTTTGTTTTTGTTTTTCTTCAATTAATTTGAACTTGGAATCTCTGGATTTTTCTATTCCTGAAAGTTAATGTTTAACAAATATTTAAAAGTATTTTATGTTTATAAGAATATCTTCCATTCATTTTGCCTATGACACTTTTACATTGTCAAAGTACTTTCACTTATACTATTCATTTTACCCCAGATAATAATGTTTCTTGAGCTACAGTGTTCATAGAAAAATACTGAGCAAAACCAAAGCAACAACTTTCAATTGTAATCAATTATCAAGTATAGTCATCACCAGTGCTAAGGAGGTAAGTCCTGATCCATGTTTTAATTCCTTGCTTAAACCAAATCCATCGCCATCAAGTCAATTCTGACTCATAGCAATCCTGTAGCACACAGTAGAATTACCCCATAGGGTTTCCAAGAAGCGACTGGTGGATTTACACTGCCAATCTTTGGGTTAGCAGCTGAGTTATTAAAATTCCTTGCTTATGTATTCAAAATCACCATGTTGTCACTAAGTTTCAGTAAATTCAATTGCTCTAATAAAATGACATTCCTTATTGAATTGTGAAATAGAAGTACACAAAATGATCAAGAACTTGACTACTTTAATGTTTCTTTTTATTTAAATTATTTTTGTAAAAATAAGACAAGAAATTGATGCCTTTGAATTATGGTATTGGCAAAGAATTTAGAATATTCTATGGACTGCCAAAAGAACGAACACATCTGTTTTGGAAGAAGTACAGCCAGAATGCTCCTTAGAAGCAAGATTGGAGAGACTTCATCTCACACACTTTGGACATGTTATCAGAAGGGACCAGTCCCTGGAGAAGGACATCATGCTTGGTAAAATAGAGGGTCAGTGAAAGAGAGGAAGGCCTTTAACAAGATAGATTGACATCGTGGCTGCATCAGTGGGGTCAAGCGTAACAATGATCATGAGGATGGCACAGGACCGGGCAGTGTTTCGTTCTGTTGTACGTGGGGTCACTATGAATCAGAACCAACTCAACGGCACATAACAACAATAAGACAAGAGTGATGACTGAACTTGAACACAGAAAACTACATTATTAATCAGAGAACCTACAGAAAATGGAAAATCTTCCATCAACTTTTTTAATCAGCAGTTATTGTTTGGCATGATACTGTTCTAGCAATAATTATTTTATTAAGACATTTTTTAAATATTTAACTGCAATTATTTATCCATTTTGAAATTTGATATGTATCACCATGGAAATTCTGACTTGATTTTCAAAAGCATGTTTGCATTACAAGAGTTTCTTAGAAGGTAGTAAGTAGATCCTGGACTCCTGTTTGAGGATTTTTTTCCCCCTTAACATATTTTTAGTCTGTGTATCTGACAAAGTAATGGACACATGATCTACTAGAGATTGTATTTGTTAGTTAAGAAATAACTGATAGATCTTTCTTTTAATTTGCTAGATTTTTTTTTTTTTACTCCTACCTACCCTCTCTCTAGCATATGTTTTCAGCTTGGTAACCCTCAAAGCCTTGTGCAGTCCAACAGCACTGGATGTATTAAAATTATTCATTCAAAATGCAACATCACCCACCCATCATTAATAGACCTACATTTTAGGATTTTTCTCCCCAGTCAAACTTGTATTTCACTGAAATCTCCCAAGTATTTCAAGCAGAAATCTTTACAACTAAGGACTCTTACATACCAGAAGGGTACTTGTGGTTGAAAAACTTTGCAGCTCTCTTCTCTAGCCTATGAGGGCGGAACAAACACTAGCACATTTTATTCCACTGAATTAAGTGGTGGAGACTAAAGAAGGTACTTAGGCAACAGAGCCCAGGCAATCAAACAGCCTAGAGTGAAGGAACACGCCTGAAAGCACCTCACTTTTTTTATCTTGTATGCATTTGAATGAAGAAGTTCAAAGAACTTCATATAAAGTGAATAAAAGTACTTTATAGTTTCTCTATCAATTAATATGAATTAACAGGGAAAAAGAGCAGATAATTCTCATCATATACTGTCAAGTAGAAAAATGAAGCATGGAGATAAGGAATTGCTGTCCATGCTGGGAATAGAAGAGAATTTTTCTGTACAATACAGTAATTTTCCTCAATTAATGAAAAAAATGTGTGTATACATATACAAAAATCTGCTTTCTGTTTTCTTTTATTAGAAATATTCTCTAAGTCTGTCTAAATAAATATCTAAACCATTATCTTTAATTTCAGTAGTGTATAGCTCACTAATATTCCTGTTGCTTCTTGCTGACTTTTGTTGAGTTCTTAACTCATATATACATTTACAGCAGAAAAACCTGTCTTAAACTTTTCTTTTTTTTTTTTTAATCCCTATAGAATCTTTTGGTATAGTGTCATATCGGCAAAGTGGAATTTTACTCTAGCATTTCATAGGAAATAGTCCAACTCTACAATGAAAGATTATGCAAATCCTCAAGGAGCATCTAATCAATCACCGTGGTGTGAGAGGAATGCAGCTGATCGCTGAATTAGCTTCTGTTGGAATGTATTCATGTGTAACATCCCACTCTCTGGATGACATCACAACAGCTCCTGCTCCTTGAAAGTCTTGAGGATGATTAGCTGAAGGAATTGGTTGTTTCTGCCAATCATAATCCGGCAAAGCTGCCTTTATAGTTCTGGAGATATGAGAGAAAGAGGTGGGAGGGAAAGACTGACTACAGCTAAACAAGAGCCACAGCAGCAGTAGCAACAGCAGAGCAGGAGCAGCTGGTATTCCGGTGATTAAATAGTTCTCATAGCCTTTTTGCTGTACTCGGTCTGCTCCCTGGTGTAATTCTCGTGTCCAAGAAGGAAGCTGCATTTTAACGGTGTGCTGAACAGAGGTTTGAATCATTCCAGCTGGCTGCTTGTTTTGAAAAGGACGATGTGTGTATAAATAAAAAGAGACTCTGCTGGAAGAGTTCAGATACTAGGACTGGAGCTAAAGAGTGCTCTCGGAATATTATTGAGGCAGATTGTATGAACTGAAAGCTCCTTCTAATTAACCTGGAGCCAAGTGAATCTGAATACTGGATATCTCATTTTCTAACTCGGGATAAATTCAAGTTAGGAAAAGAAAAAAAATATTGAAATGCTTCTCTAGGTAAGTTACTGCTTAATTTGCTGGAACCGAGGTGTGCACAATAAATGGATATATGTTGCTTAGCTATGTAAACAAGTTGAACACAATAAAGTTTTATTTGTGAAAGATTTATGTAGAAGCAGATGATATTTTTAAACCAAATTCAGTCTCCCTTTTCAGCATGTGTGTGCTTACCTGTCATTGCGCTGTGTTGAAGTTATATTTGCACTATAAACAGAAAAAAATCTTGTCTAAAAATAGGTAGAATTTGAGATATTTTAAATAGTTGTCAAAACATTTGAGCAAAAAACACCTCATTTGATAACAATTTTAGCCTTTTCATATTGGAATCTCCAATTCTACAAACTTAGCATCCAATACAATCTGTGGCATTGCAAATGTTTCCTGGAGAAGTGTTACTTATAACATGGCATTCAAATTACCCGAGATGGGAACTCCTCTACTTGAGACCTGAGATTTATAGGCATGCTCTGTTCTAATGGTCTGCTTTAGAGGAACAGCTGTCACAGACATTTAAAACTGTATAATACAGTCATAAATTGCTTATAAGGAAATAGATGCTTTCCTCGTAGCTCCTATTAGGAAAGAGAAATTCTTAGAATGATACATGTCTTCTGCCATAAGCATAGATTCCCAGGAGGACAAACACAGCTTTTTTGGTATACCTGTAAAGTGAGGCTCTAAATTCCTTATGCAAAATGAGTTGGCAAGCAAGCAATATTGTTTAAATATGGTTTTACTCTTCCCAATATCTCTGTTAAAGCAAGCTAAATAAAACTCTGCTCTTAAACTTGTATTTTCCTTGTATTTGTCCCAATTAATAAAATAGTGCAGGTTTCATAGTATTTCAAGTGGTAATGTATTTTGTTTATTCTGATAGGTTATACTGTGAATCCTAATATAAGTCAGAAAAGTTTTAGTAGTTTATACATTATCATGTCATTTTCAAACTTATCTTTGCTTGCGTTCAAGGTGCCTTCTAGCAGAATATTTTTATCAGCCCAAAGATCATAAAAATGTTTTCAAGTAAATTGTATACAAAGATACTGAAGTGTTTCACTAGCTCTTAGAGTGATTTTAGTTCTCCACTTTCTCACCAACTTCATGGATAACATTCTGTGAGTTTCTTGCCACAAAAGGAAATTGGTAAAGACAAAAGTTAATGTAATTGATTCAATTTCCCCCCAAACTAAGATACAACGATTTTCCCAATAAATATTTAAAAATTGTTTTTTCATATAAAAGAATAATTTTTTTCTATTAAGAGTGTGCCAGTTACTAAGTCCAGATGTCAAGTAGACGCCACATTGGTAAGGTTTTTTTTCGTAAAGCCAGTGTGTATACAGACTAAAATCTACTGACTACAACAGTCTAAGTCTTCAACTAGTATCATAAAGAATTCAGTACTGAACTAGATATACTTCAACTTACATTTCCTCAGTATACAAATGGGATTTTAATACCTGCTATGATTGTTGACAGTTTTAGTATGAAATCCTGTGAATATTTACCTTACGATGATCAATTTTACGCAGCACTTACATTGATAGAAGTCTCATAATAAGCTAATGGGGCAGATTTTTTAAAAACTGAACTATGCACAATAGGCTTTTTAAGTATCTCTCTTAATGGAAATTGGTCACCACTGTGATTTGTGCTTAGAAAACCCTTTAAAAAATGCAATATGTATGACTTATTCGTATAACATGAGTATAACCTTAAAAGAGAAATACAGATGTAATTTAGAAACTCAAGCATTATTCTTAATAAAAGAAAGGTGAAACCTCAAGAATATTGATATTTATTTTCCTTTTAATAAAATTGCAAATGTATACAAATAACATTTTGTTTTCTGCCAGTTGGAGTTACTATCTAAGAAATGTGCCCCCTTTACATGTTTTCCCCTTAAACACCAAAGGACATAAAACGTGTTTTATATATAAATATGTAAAGTCACAATTTCAAATTTCTATATATTATATACAAAATATAAATTTTAATTTTTATCTGAGTATTAGAACTGTTTTATCTATTGTTTCTTACCCTCCCCCAAAAGGCATTCTTTAATTGGATTTAAATAAAATTCAGCTTCTTAATTCAATCTCAATATTAACATTACTTCTTAAAGATGCTGAATAAATGTTTCTAACCCAGCAAAATATTTGTCCCCGGTAGGTCTAATGTTTATCTGCTCTGCTTGCACATTCTGTTTGAGTGGGAAAGGTGCCATTGAGATTAAAATCCAAGGATCAGACTTTCTGTGCTTCATTTAGTAGCAACTACTTAAAAAGAAGAACAGAGAAGTGTTTAGTATACTGTGTTCAAAGTGGAAGATTCTGGCTGGTGCTACCTCCCCAGATTTGGGAAGCAGCTGGGGAAACTTAGAAAATATAGCTAGAACATCACCCTGGCTGGAAGCCAAGACTGAGAAGCTGTGCACCCAGAAGGCTAATTCTTTCTGGGCTGAAATTCATTGATAATGCATTATGTTTAAAGTCTAACCTGAAGTGTTACTTTTTCCTCCAGCAGAGACTGTGGGATATTTAAAGAAATTTATTTTCTGAGTACAGATAAATTTTAAAGTAACAAAGTTTCTTCTTTATCAAATGTTACTCTCATAATATATATATGTATACATATATATAAAACAAGCCTGCCAGAAACTCCTATAAAATTCAGTATACAGTCAGGAGCAGAAAAATAAATAAAGGTGAGATGCATCGTCTAACCATCATCTTGGAGACGGCAGAAAGAATAGAAATGCCACACACGGATACTTGCCCAAAGAAATATGAAGGTTTTATTAAAGTAACTGGCCTAGTAAAATTCACAGTAGGAATAGAAATACTAAATACTGTTTGTAGTATATAACTTTTGAAGCTAGACAACAAAAGAGAACGTAAACTGTCACCCATTATGTATTCCAAATAACAGGAAACAAAGAAACTATGTTGTTTGTTGATTTATTTTAAGTTTATGAAGTGAGAGAAATGGTTCGCGTGTCAGACACAATGCTACTGCCTTTAGCCATCATGGAATAACATTTAGCCATCCTTTCCTTTAACACTCAGGATACTTTCAGCTATACTGTTACAGAGAGTGTTAAATGCACCCTTTTTTTAGTTATTTTCAGCAAACTTAGAAGTTAGAGGTGTCAATTACAATGCAGAACTCTAAACATACAGTCCTATTTCCATGCTGTCTTTATCTGTTTTCTAAGGAATGCTAGCACCTTCCAGAGTTGACAAATCTAAAATTTCTTTTAGAAATAATATTGAATTGAAACTGATTTCCTCCAAACCCAAAATAATCTGAACATGCCTTACAAACTCATATATGACTATGACTATTTCAAGATAAATAGAGTCAGAAAAATGTGAATAGTAACTCACTCCCATTCCTACTGGTGAAAATGTCTGCTGGTTTAACTTGATGTATTTATTTCATTTGCCTTCTTGCAATTTCTTTATATACATAAGTGTCCAGATAGTTTAGGCCATGAACAAGGCTATAGCAAAAAAAGCTGTGTAAGATCACCTAAAGTAATGGCTTTTCAAGTGACTCATTGAGATAAATATATACACCTCAGAAATATTTTTATCAAGAGAAAAACTTTAGATACTTCATTAAAACTAAGTGAATAATCATGATTAATTAATTGAAACTAAGGAAGTACCTGAGAATAAGCCAACATAATTAAACCCATTGCCATTGACTCAATTCCGACTTATACTGACCCTATAGGACGGAGTAGAACTGCTCCATAGGATTTCCAAGGTAATTTTTGTGGAAGCAGACTGCCACATCTATCTCCAGCGAGCGGCTGGTAGTTTCGAACCACTGAGCTATTGGTTAGCGGCTGAAAGCTTAACCACTGCACCACCAGGGGACCTTCTGAGAATGAAATAAAGGATTAACAGACACTATGTTTGAATGCTTCAGAGTATATTTTGATGTTTCACTCACAGTATTTGGAAAATAAAAACGATGACTCTATTAAGATGTAGAACTGAGACTTGTGTACCAAATGGAAATTGTCGCGTCTTAGATTTTACTGTTTTAAATATTTGAAGAGTTCAATAAAAAGAGCAAGTTTTTAGCAGGTTAACACATAGACATACACAGGCACTGTTTTTTTTTTTTTTTTAATAAAAAAATTTCCTATTTTGAATACTCCACTATCAGTTGAACTTGTGTTGTAATTTATTTAAAACATTTGACTGCCTCATTAAAAGTCTAATGGGATTTATCTTCAGACTTAAGCTTGTGGAAAGTTGAAAGTAAGCTGGCCAGGTTCAATATGTTCCAGCAACAAGTAAATGTCCAATTGCTCCCTTAATCTCTCATCATCCCTCCTTTTTTCTTCTTCTCTTTCTAGCTCTCCTTTTCCTTCTTCTTTCCCTTCCCTTCCCTTCCCATCCTCTTTTCCCTTCCTTTTCCTTCCATTGCTGCCTCTCTCCCTTCTTTTCTCCTTCCCTCTCTCTTTCCTTCCTCAATCCATCTGTCTTTTCTTCCTTCCTTCTTCCCTCCCTTCCTTCTTTTCTTCCTTATTTCTTCTGTCTTCCCTCCTCTATTCTTCCTTCCCACCTTCCTATTGCCTCTTCATTTTTGAAACTTCAGTTTAACCCTCTCTTGCACAGCTGGGGAGCAAACAACTCATGCCTAGTATATAGCAGCAATTATTAATCTAATGGCTAGATTTGAACATAGGATTTGAGTATGCAAAAAACTACAAAGGAAAAATGGGTAAAGTACACTAAACAATAGAAGAAAGTTAAGAGGGGGTGGAAATTCATTCATGTCAGCTTTAAAATATTGGCTATTCTACCACCTATGAATTTCCATTTTGTTTACTGAATTCTTTCAGTGGAGTCCTTTAATCCCTTTCCACATACTTTTTTCATTATCATTCACATCATACTCATGCAGTAAATGCAGCTTGATAGTAAAAATAAAATAATAATAATAAATGTAAATAACTCTTATACTAGTGTGTTTAG